CCCCACTGATTTCTGTGTTTATCATTCTCCTTTGCATAAAGAACTACCAGAATGAACCAGAATGCTGAAGAGAGGTTAACTGCAGCCATGCAAGCAATTTTAACTCTGTTGTTTTCCATCTTCAGATTGCTTGACTTTGCAACCTTAATGTTCCTTTCAATTCTGAAGTGCATAAGCACATGCATGTAAATAGGTAGGTATACAGGCAAATTAAGGACTGTTTTCTTCCTTAGTGAAGATTCTGGAGTACCTCCTCAACATGGCTGAGGGACAATCTAGAATCTTTGATGAAGGCTTAATTTAAAAGAAACAGAAAACAAGGAAGAGCCAGCAGTTTGTATCTGAGGTTTCAGCAGCCACATATGGTGGATATTTCAGAATTTCTGCCTCAAAGTCACTTATAACTAAGCACTGTGCCATCTGCTACTGTGACACAAACTAATTTATAAAGGTTAACTTCTGTGTGCATATACAGCATGACATCTTTCCAGGAGAAACGTATCACAGGACAAGAGCTACAGCCTGATCTGTAAAAGTAGCACTGATTTCTATAATTCTCCAGACCTAAGCAAGCAGAAAAAGATCTCAGTCTTCTATATTCAGGCAGGCAGGCAAGTAAAACAACTTTTCCCAATTTCCAACTTCCACTCATCCTTGCAAGTTGAAATAAACTAATTAAAATAAGCACAGAAAGAATAAAAACTGAAAGAAAGACAAAATGTTCTGGAACTTGTAGATGCTACTGACATCAAAAGCTGGTTTATCGTGTCAATAATGTATGTTTCCAGCTGCTTTGCCAGTGACTTCTCTCAAGGAAAGATCAAACTTTTCTTAAAATTCTACAGTCACTATACATAATTTGAATATATTTGCATTTTATTTAAATACTTTAAAATGTGATTGCTTACTTTTAAATAAATAATAAGTATAAAAATTAGAGGTAATGATTAAAAGAGTTTTTCTTGCAGTGCCTTTTACAGTTGTGTTAAAAACGTATTTTCAGGTATATACTGAAAATTGGTTGCATTCTGCTATTGCTCAACAAATCTCTTTCTTTACCTTTCAGTTAGGACATAAAATTATATCTGCTGAAAAAAATCATTCTAAGCTATCTTCTTGGTGAAAATCTGCAAGTACTTCACAACGTGGCAAGCAGCTAAAGGACACATCTTTTCACATAAAGCAAGGAGCACCAACCATATGCCTAACTAACACCACATGAGAACCATCCTGGGAGGCAGGATCACATAAACCACAATGAGCTGCAGATATCTGACATTTGAGGACACTGTAATGTAGATTGGAAAACGGCAGGAAACCTACAGAAATAAGAGCACACAGGCAGAGTCTCACAGGTGAGGTAATGTGAAGGGAAGCCTGTGAGCCTGCTGGAAAAGAAATGGGATGCTGCTGCCTGGCTCAGCATACTTAACAGTGGGTCTGAGTTAGAAATGGGCAGTCAGGATTTTTCTGGAGGTGGGGTTTTTGTTTTTTTTTTTTTTTTTACTAAGTTTCCTTTCTGAGCAAACATCACTGTAAGGAGAAAAGTCTATCTGCTAATTTTTAGTGTTAAGATGCCCTTCAGCCTGTGTTTGGGTCATGGCAAAATTCCTAAAACAGGTAAGCACAGGCATAAAGGCAGAGTGATGAAAAAAAAACCCAACAAAAATGGAGAGATCTTTATCTATAAAAGAGATATTGAAAACTGAAGAAAATATACCTTTTAAAACATATTTTTCATTTTACTAAGACTTTGTACAGAAAATTTCAAGCGGGTACTACCTAGCAGGACTTGTGAGGCAGCACTGCCACAGGCACTAACACAGAATGCTGTACTTTTCTGCCATGAGGAACCTCCATCATATCTGCACTTGGGCAGAGCAGGCCACAGAACTGTTTTCTTCCTGGCAAGCTGTGGCAGCTCTTGCTCTGCAGTTTCCTGAATGACTGCATTAATTTGATTGACTCCAGATCAATGGTGTCTCCAAAGAAGATTAAATTACATGTTCCTTCTGTCTATATGTTACAGGAGATTACTCTTAGCAGAATCTCAAAGGAAGCAATTAGCTGACCACTGATGTAATGAATTCTAATTATTTTGTTTGTACAAACAATAAAGCCAGATTGTTTGTTTAGCAAGGAAGTGTAATTACTCTGAGCACTTGAGAAAATAAATCAAACAGCGCTACCTAGACCTAGTAAATAATGAGCATTTGACTTCCTATTTATGCTAAGAATGCTCATGGAATATTTTTAGGTAGCTGGGAGCCAACCTTTGAAACTAACATTTATCATGGTTATTATTGAGCACTTGCTTGATTATGTTCTTGAGTGTGCTAGGTACCTTGCAGAAATATCCATCTACATTGGCTGTCACTGGCACCTGCTAAAAATTCACTGCAGCCAGTGCAATTTCCTGCAACTGTTTTTTGTTAATCAACAAGAAGTCACTCACTTCACAATCATTAGGCTGTTCTGCTCCTAAGGGCACCAGTGGCAGGGGCATGTCCTCGGCAATGGATGAATAATCAGGAAAAAAAGCATATTGCTATACATGGAGCAGGCTCCATGTATATATCCAACATTTGGCCATGTAGGCTAGAAATGGAATAAAATCAGAAGGCAATCAAATGACAATGGTTACAGCTGGGTCTTCCCCTTCTCCATGTTCATCAGCTGCTGCTGCAAAATATTCACTGCTGATTCATAAAGAGTCAATGCTGCAAAAAGCAGAGATCAGTCCAAAAATACCTCACCTTCTGCCACTTTTGCTGATTTTGTGTGACTTAAGAGCATGAGGGGGCTGACAAATTAGAGATAACCTGATCCTATTTTATGCAAACTCACTGGTTGTTGCAAGCACAGCCATCTGCACCTCCTGCAGACACCAACTCCTGAGATCAGCCATTCCCTTCAAGGTAGTTGGCTTCCTTTACCATAGGTTTGAAAAGATATTCATGCATGCAAAAATATTTTTCTTACTCTTTTTTTCTAGCCACATTTTAGGTGTTAAATCTGAATTTAAAGTAAACTGCATAGCCTAGAATTCTGCAGTTGGCCAGGTTTTCTTCTTAGGCCAAACAGTGATACACCCAAAAGGGATCAACATTATTTTCTGTCTCTCTTAAGTGATGCTCAAAAATCTTATGGCAACACCATCTCACATCCTGATTAAACCTTAATGAAAAAAAAAAAAAAAAGACACTTCTGCTTCCACCAGTTGGATTCTTGTTGTAGTGATACTGTTTAAATGGAGAATGAAAGCCCTGAGGTCAGTGAAATCTCACTGAAATGAGCAGGGTGTAAGTTACAGCAACATCTGTACTGGCTGAAGGGAAACTGCAAATCAATTGTTAGTGCAATGGGAGCCATTTCCCTCATGCTTATGAGATATTTCAGTTCTTCAGTCCTTTCCACCCTGAGCTGTTTCTCTTTGTGTTCAGTAGCTATTAAAAACTCACAGAGTGGGGTTTTTTTTTGTGCTCTTGCTGTAGGCCTAATTGACAAATGTTTGCTGCCTGCCATTATGTTAAGCTAGTATCTTTGAAAATTAACTGAAGCCTTTAGTCTAATCCAGAGAATTTAAGGCTGAATAAATACCACGTACCCCAAGGCAGGTGAGGCAGATGAATTAAAAATGGCATCTAACTGTAGAGGAGACATGCTTATGCCTAAAGCTTTTGTTTTGTTTTCCCCTACAAACAACATGACAACATGAAATCAGAGAATTCCTTGGTCAGTCTTCTGGAAGATCCCTGTGAGCCTCTTCTAGAGAAAAGAAGCACTACTAAATGTTTGGCCGCCTCTACACCAAGTATTAAAATGTCATACTGTTTTTCCAGCCTGAAAAATTCTGGTGACCTTACTGGATGAAATAATTAATGCTGAGCCAGACAGGCAAGAACAGAAAGTCTTTGGGGGTCTTCAGGAAGGCTGAACTGCAGCCAAAACTATTGAGGAAAGTGTGAAAACTGCCTTAAAATTGGTCAGTACTTTGCTGGGTAAAAATATTGGAGCTGCTACTCCACATTTGAGTATTAGAGGAATAGCTCATCAGAATGATGAGGAAAGTCTTGATTTCTGGCCATGCTTGAAGTGTACTGTACTGCACCCTTTAAATATTGGTCTCTTCTACAGAGGAGTTTCAACAGGAGAAATCAAGGGTTTGATTTACCTACTATTTGATTATCATCCTGCAACACTTTATTCATTCAATCTTCTTTGTGTTGAGAAAAATAGCCTTATTCTATTCCTTCTAAAAACAAATGGAAAGTGAGATGACAGTACAAAGTAGAGCAGCGTCTATAAACAAAGCAAATTGTGACAGAAAAATTTGCTGACTTTTTGAAAATGGGATCAGAAGTGCTGCTTGGTTTAATAAGAAACTGGCAGCATTTTGTTTTCTTTTAGCTTCTCCTTATCATCTTCTGTACTGCTTCTGTTTCTTATGTCATCACTTCAAAAAGAAAATCCATCACAGGAGGAATTCTGCTGCTTAGAATAAGGATTTAATCTAATAGCATTAGACAAATCTCTGGACTTTCTCTGGCTTTCTGCACTAGAAAGAAGGTGGGCTGATTGATCCAAAGCATATTTTTTTCAGAATTGTCTAAAGAATTAGAAGTCTCATTTTCAAAATTATTTTAGGCATTTAACTGCTAAATCCTTTAGAGAGATATTTTGGCTCTTCTTTAGTCTCTTTTGAAAAATGAATTAAATTGATATAGCATGTAGATATATATAAAAAGCAAGTTTCCCTCCTCTAAATATCCATCCAGGAGATAGATATTTAGCTTCTAGAGATACAGTAAGCCTAGTTCAAGAGTAAAAACTCTGTAATATTTTTCCATTTAAAAATCTGGAGAAAAAAATAAATTCATTTAAGAGTGGCTCTTAATAAGCAAATTAGTTTCACAAATCTCTAGAAGAGTTTAAAATAATTTTCTGCAAAAAATTCTGTTCAAACTTTTTTTTAGCTTAATAATAAGAAACTGTCTTGCCTTTCTGAATCTGTCTGGTTCCTCCAAAGGTCCAGCACTCTGTTTAAAAGAAAAAAAAAAAAGAAGAGAAGAAAAAAAGAAGCATAAATTTAAGATCTCAATGGAGCCTGTAAATGAATATTCACTACACAGGGGATGTTTCTTTCAAATGCATGGTCACCTGGACAGAGTGTACCAGCAGGAGATTTTTTTAATGGGCCTTTTAACACCATTAGGCAGAAAGGTGGCATGGTTTTAGGTTCTTGACTACTTGAACCAGATGAGCAGTTCTCCCAGCAATAGCTTTGACTTTACTGACACCTACTGACTATGTTAATGCTTACAGAAGGTTTTGGTTAACACAGCATGAGTCACTAGAATTGAGGGCAAACACAGAAATATGCTCTTTATTAATAAAAGTCATGCTTACTTTCCATGCATTTTAAAGTATTCATGTTCCAAATAGGCTTTGGATTTCAAGACATGGTGTTCCAAGGCAGAAAATTTTAAAATGCCTCAAATTTTAGGTGTTCAAATTCAGATACCTTTGGAAGAACTGGTATACACAAAATACCAAATGCAAAACTATAAATTCTAATCCTTTGATTATGGTATCTTGAAGCTGCTCAGATAATGTGAGTAGTTAAGCTAGAAAGAATATTAATCAATAATTATATATGTTTATGCTAAGAGCATGGGAATATCTTTAGCATGCCCTGGAATATCTTATATATGATGATGAATCCTGCCATCCTTAGCATGACTTATATATAACAACTCATCAACTTCTTTAATAATTTGGTTTTTGCATTAAAATGCCTCCTCTTTATCTCGTTATAAATCATTAGGCTATAGAGAGTTTCAAAAGGGCCTAGGTCCTTCTGTGCACAGTTACTTTGAATCAGTTCAGTCAGTGGCTATTCTGTCTCACAGCAGGAGACACAAATAATGAACAGTGAATATATTCTTATTGCAGGAACTGTCAAAAAACAACTCTCTGGAGAAAGGGCAAAAAATAGAAATCCATGTGCCCAGAACCTGGCACATATCCAAAGCGTTCACACACACAAACACCTCTCAGTCCCCAGCTGCATTCCTCTTTGCCTTTTATTATTCTGGTCTGAAACTTCCATCTCAAGAAATATTTTGAGCGCAGCTTAGAAAGGGAAAAAGCACACAACTCTTAATTAAGCAGACACACGTGCATACTGTTGAAGTAAGACTAGCAATGTGAAGCAACCTGAAAGAGCAATGGCAAAGCTCAGCAGCTTGGGCTGTGTGTTGTCACCTACCAGCGAACTCATGGACTCTCTCAGCTTAGATTTGTAGAGCATCCATCGGTAACGCAGGTCCTCCAGGTCTTCAGAATTTCCAAAGACAGGGTGAAGATGAAGGAGCTCCTCAAAGAGTTGCTGACCATGAGGCACACGAGACTGCAGCTCCTAAAAGCAAAGACAAGGGTCAGCAGCAATTCAGGATTCAGGAAGGCCACACTTTTTAAATTTGCACTTGAAAAAACAGTGGTTATGCAACAGCAGATTTGTTTTTGTTACTGCTTTTTGGGCCTGCAATGATATTAAATTCACCTGCAGGACTCCTGTAGCCTTGGATATTTCTATGTTTAGTTTCTAACAATCCAATAAATCTAACAAATTGCCATGGCATTTGGCTATACTCATCAGGAAGAATGAGACCAAATACTGATTTGGCACTGATTTTAATCACCCTCTTTGAACAACACCTTTACCATACCACACTGGAAATGTCCAACCCAACAGCTAAATGCCAGGTGCTCCCTTCCCTTCTACTCTGGTTCTACTCTGGCAGAACTTTCTTAGTAGAAAGGATGAAATTGGTCCTGAATTCCTGATCTTCATCTGCTCTAGAGTCTCATAAATCAGAGAGCCTAGTGTTTGAATTTTTTGTCTATTTGTTCTTGAGGAGTTTTTGGGGTTTTTTGGGGAGTGGTGGGTTTTTGGTTGGTAGGTGGCGTGGTTTTGGGTTTTGTTGTTGTTGTTTGGGTTTTTTTTTATTCTGAAAGAATTCACACTTATTGCAATATTTTTCTCCATTCACCCCCTGAAAACTCACCTCAAGTTTATGCTGGTGTGCCTTGATTTCCTCTGCAGAAGATGGAGTCCCAGCAAGAATTTTGGTCAGTTTGGTGTTTTCTCCTTGTAGCCACTCTTCAAAGTCATGTAGGAGCTTTAAGTGGCTGCTTGTACTTTGCCATTTTCCCATTTTCTCCTAGGATACAGAACAACAGGAAAAAAAAGCCCTTACTGTCATGTCAGACATTTCTTCTGAAGGCCTGATAGGGAAATCTTAACCTCCAACTTTGTAACCCACAATATCAGATGAAGGCAATGAAATTGTTCTTGTGAAGCTGATGTGATGGCAAACACGGAGTCCTCATCTCACCTGCTTATGGTTGGGATCGACATCAAAAAGGTGGAAAGCAGGTCTAGATATCCATCTGCTGTCCACAAGTGCTCTTTTCTTCTTGTCAGCCACTGGTCTGTCTAACTGCCACTTTTTGAGGAGACTTGAAAACACAAAACCAGAGATATCAGTGCAGTGGACATCCACATTTTGACTGGGGCTACAGGAGACAACTCTGGAGAAACAGCACTATCGTTATTATATCATTATTAATACTTTTAACACTATTACTATTGAAGTTATTCCCAACTGGAGTGTCTCACAGCTGCACCAGGACTCTAGTTCTAATATTTCCAAGTGTTTGTTTTCTTTTATTTAGGGGACTAAAAATATTACCTTAGCAACATAGTTTTCTTTCTGGTTACAGGAGGCAGTACAATCAAGCCTTCCTCGATTTTGTAATTTAATTTTTGTGCCTGTTCTGACAGTATGTATGAATACAATCATACATGCAGCACATCATTAAACATTAATATAGATTGGCAAATATGAGCAGCATTTTGACACTACACAGTAGAGGCAAAATAAATTAAGTTTTCATTTCCCAGCTAAAGAGAAAATTTTTAGCTCTGTTTATACTTCTGCAGGTTTGCAAAAGGCACAAATCCCATTGCAGATACACCTTCCTTGAAGGCATTTCCAAGGAGACCAGGAAGATAAGACAGGACAGCACAAGTCACCCAGTCTAAGCCAAATTTCCTCTGACACAGACTGGCAGTACAAGAGTGAGCCAGGTCATAAGACTCTGCCTACTCCGACACGAGGTAAAGGAAGATTCACAGACATTGTGGTTCACAGAATCCTAAAAATATTTTCTTAAAAGTAACAATTTTCAGTTTATAAACAATTAAATAAAATCCCATCTTGCTTCTAGTGCTGTGGTATGGCTGTTCACAGCACAGAGCATAAAGCCTCAAGTGTGTCTGTTTTTACTGCAGTAAAGAGAACACCATTGAAGGGACATAAGGAAGACCTACATGAGCACTTACCCAGTTGCCATCTCCTTCAGTGATTTCCATGACTCCTTCAGCTGATCCAGCTCTGCCTGGATATGGGCAATCTCCTCTGGAGAAGAATTCTCCATGAGCAACTGGCCATGAGCTTCCACAAGGTGCAGCAGGATCTCCTTATCTGGAAATTCAGCTAGCAATCTCTGAAATGCAAAGCCCTGACAATTACTCCTAGGTATCCAGGGTAGAGCAGAGGTTATGTCAGACTGAAGGCCATGTTCAGTTCAGGACTATGCTGCTTTTCTTGGCACTGGCTAGAGCATAGCTAGCAGGAAAAAACATGCCATGGATGCTTCCAAAATGCCAACAGAGGTCAAAGAGCTGATGGGAAAAGTTTGAGAGTGCAAGCTGTCAATGCCCCTCCTTCTGTAGCCTTCCCATGAAAGATTTTGGTCTCCCATATGAAGGCAACAGCTGCCAGCTGAAGTAACCTACTGGAGTGAATTCAGCATGCAAAGTACTGCTACCCAAGGAAAAGCTGCAAGCTTTGGAACAGCTGAGTTCAACAAGTAGAAGGCCAGCTAAAATGGCAGGAATGTATTGATGAGTACACACAGGCAAAGGCAGGTGTTGTTCAGAGAGATCACCCTGACAGGAACAGACCACCTGTCCTTGGATAACACTTTATCCATCTCAACACTTCTTACTCATTTTCATTGCTCTTGTCTGTTACATGGCCCCACATCCCACAACACAGGGCAAAGCAGAGAGGCAACAGCAACCAACAGATATTGAAGGAGAAACTCACATCATTACTCTCCAGGAAGTAAAGAAGTAAAGAACCAGGAAATCCTCACTAGAACGCCCCACTCTTAATGTCTGAATGCTGCAAGGTGAGTAATTAACATCTTAAACTAAGATGCTTTTCTCACCTCCAGGTCTTCAAGCCTGCCCTCGGTGTTCTGCTCTTCCTCAGCATCCTGGCAGGACTCAATCTTCTCCCTGGTTACTGAGATCCACTGCTGGAGGTCAGACAGTTTGTCATTATATGCCCAATGCTTCTGAACGTGGTCTTCACTCTGCTGTATCATTGTCTACAAATGATAAAAAGATGTCAGATAAAGACAGACAAAAAGCACTTTCTTTACTGGTTCTAACACTACGATGGGCACAGAACTTCATGGGCAAAAAGAAAAAAAGCAGCTATTAACAAGAGACAAAAAAACCTGTCCTTTTAGCATCAGTGGTGTGGAAAACACCTCCAAGCTCCTGCAGGCCTGAATTCAACCACACGAGGGGGTATTAAGAACTAGAATAGCTCCTTTCCTTCTCAGCTGAAAGAGAATAAAGAATATACATGTCTGGGGGTTTTGTATCCCAGTCAATAGCAAATACATCTTGCACTCCCTCAATCAGAAATGACTGTACAGACTCACTTGGAAAATGTTCAGTTCAGTGATAAATGGGATGAGTGAGATTGAAACTAGAATTCCACAGTGCATGTTCAGGTAACACATGCAATTTTATAGTGAACTACATAGCTAAGGTAACTTAATGAGCTCTTCTGAGATTGGTCTGGAGGTCATTTTATAGGTATGTTTGCAAGCTACAAAATGCCTCAGGATTTTATAAGTATTTATACAATTGCAGCACTTTTCTCTCATTAACTTTTAGGTAACAAAGCCATAAAACCCCTAAGCACTTTGATACAAACTCTCTCTCCCATAATCTGTGAAGTGCAAGCACCGTCATGATAATATAACTATTGAGCTCTTTTGGTCAGAAACCTCAGGCTCACACCAGAAATAGTTTATATAGATATAAAATATGTGTGAATGGCATCCTATCTCCAAGGGAAATCACATTAGAGATAATCAGAAAATACTGGAATAGTTATCAAAGTCGCAAGAATTCAGTGTCTTCTTCCCCTGAAAAGAAAATATCTGTCACTCAAAGCATGTAATGTCATATGCTCAAAGATTTTTTTAAAATATTTTTAAATAGAGGCAACTGACAACTCCCCAGGGAACTAAAAACTTCCATATGTTACCTCTAGTGATCTCTTCAGGGCCTGAGAGTCAGATGAGAGTTGGTTCATTTCATGCCTGTGTGTGGTATTTGACTGAACGAGCTTCTCTACCTCCTCCATGTGAACTGCAAGCTCGGCTAAGTCATCTTGGATCATCTGCAGAGGGAAAGACAGATTCTGTATGTGTAGTGTGCTAGGTATGGCATGGACTTTCATAAAACATACACCAAAGGCAGCTTCATTTGACAGTGTGAGGACAGAAAAAAACAGCAACAACCACTGTCATTAAGAAAATGAATTGTTTCAATGTCTAGGAGTAAATGTTTCTGAAAAAATTAGTTGGATGTCCTTTACACATTACTGTGAGATAACAGGGAAGGTAAGTTGCTGAGAAGTGCCAAAGGAGCCAGAGCATAACCAGCAAAGAGCTATGGTGATAACACCCCTGTGGCCACCAAGGATGAAGTGCCACAGTACAGCTGAACTGTCCTAGCTCACCTTGGCAGAGTCACATCCCCTCTCCCTTCTCCTCCTGCTCTTCTCTCCCCTCTCCCAGGTATGTAATCCCACTGCATGCCGCAAACAGGCTCTACTGCATGTTGGACCCTTTGCTGTACTAGTTCAAAACACTAACCAAAAAAATTATCTTTTTCTGATAGTTTTTTTTGTTGTTGTTGTTTGGTTTTTTTTTTATCTTGGACAGTTCTATCAGCCTGTGGAGAAAATCCAGCATGTGTCACAGCTAAGTGACAAGGTAAAGAGCAGAAAGAGGAGGACACAAAAGGAAGTGGACCACTGGAAACTCTTTTGAGGAAGTTAACCTGAACCAATCTATCTTGTGCAGTTTCACTACCAGTGGGAAGTGTCAGGATACATTTTCTTTAGCAATTGAACTAGCCCAAGAAGGTGTACCACCAACAGCTTCCAGCTGCTTCCTCCTGTAATGTACTGTAATGTACCTGGAGTCTCTGGAGTTGTGTCTTTTTACCCAAGAGGTCAGACCGTGGTTCCTTCTCCAGATCTAATTTGGCTTTGATGGCAGATAATTTCTTCTGCAATGGTGCAAAACCAGCATCAAAGTTCTTGTGTTGCAATATCAAATTCTAGACGGAGAAATAAGAAAACAGGTCCAGCATTCAACTTATACCCCTTGGCATTATCTTTTGTCAATATCTGCTTTGTATTCAGAACAAACACTGAGCTAGGCTATGCGACAGACCACAAATTTATTTGAATATTTGATCAACCTAGGAAAAGGGATTAGTACTAAATTTATATGTATAAAACTGGCTTAGTAAAGACTTCATCTTTGTCTTTATCACAGGCAAAGACAGTAAATGGGTTTTGTAGTTCACCTGGAGTTTGCTCTTGCTTTGCAGCAGACTTTTGTGTAGAATTTCTCTCTCTTTTGAAGCTTCAGCTACTTCTTGAAGGAAAGACGATGCTTTTTCCTCACCAAGGACATTGTTTAGCAAATCTTTCTTTAGCTGTAATGTCATCAACTTCTCCTTGAACTGGGAGCTTTCAGCTAGAGCAGCCTGAAGGAGAAAAGTTCTTCCAGTGAAATCATACCAAAAAAATAATCATATAACTATATTTTTCTTACACAAGTCACACAGCCAAAGCAGTATGACAAAGTCAGGTAAAAACAGTATGCTGGGCCAACAAGGGGTAACAGAAGGTACCTGGACAGTGCCCAGTTAAGGGAAAAATTTTCCTGATAATGTTAGAGGCACCAGGGCTGCATCCATTTTGTGAACAGAAAGAGAGGTAAGCTGTACTATGGAAAGAGTTGTCTGTGCAGAGGAGAGGCCTAAACAACCAACAGGAAGGGCCGCTTGAATGCTTATCCTGAGGATAAATTCCATCCCTGTTCACAGACACATTTATTCAGGAGATCACAGGGATGACAAAGTAACAAACACACCTTGCTGGGCACACCACAAATCGTGCATTTTAATTCCATGTCTTTATCACCACATAATTCTTTGTTAACAGAGTCCACAAACTTCCTGTCCAGGGAGATCTGGGCTAATGCTAAACAATATGATCATAATTGTTAAAGATATCTAGCACTTTATGCAGCCTACTCAGATGGCAACTCCAATTAACCAAATGGAGGGCAGAAAATAAAACAATGTGCTACTGCTGGACCTAAGACCTCCATCCCAGTGTGGTTTTCCTGCCACACTGGCAGGACCTTCCAGCTGCTGCTGCCTGGCAGCTGTATGCAGGCTAGGTGAAACCCACATTTCTGAACTTAGCAACAGCTTTGCTACCTCGATGTGAGCCAGTTCTGGCTCTGGAGTCTCCAGGAGCATCTGGACTGATGGCTTCCACTGTTCAAAACTTTGCAGGGGATTTTGGATGAGTCTCCTCAGTTGGGTTTCTGTATCAGTGCTCATTTTAGAAGTCTTGCCTCTAACCCTGTAAGGATAAAGTGACAACCAAGAGAAGGATTATGAAGAAATCCAAACCCAAACATTCTATTCTTCAAGGCATGAATTAACACAATACTGGGGTGTAAACCATATACAACACAAAAGCCTCAGTCTGCTCTACTGCCTCAGCCTGGTGTTGCATACCAACAGCTGCTCTGTCAGTCAGAGACATCTGACAAAACTTTATTTAGATGCTGTAGGACACAGTTGTCCTTTGTGCAACTGTGTATCAAGAATTTCTTTGCTTTTCTAGTAGCCAGCAGTGTCTCCTTGTACGTGATCTTTCTTGGCTGCTGTCACCAGTGGGATTTAACAAATCATTATCTCACTGACTGATGGGAGGAACAAATCAAGAGTGTCTAGAACATAACTGCAGCTGCCTGCAAAAAATAAGGTTTTATTTCTTAAAAAAAATACATTAAAAAGTTTTCGATAGTAACACAAAAACTGAAAAATACATTTTTATATCAAATACAATTCTTTTTAATTTTGCAGAACCACTTGAATTTATATTAGTACACAGAGGTGATTCTGATAAAAGCTTTGTATTTATGTATATGTATCCACATACATACACAGCTCTATTATTGGAAAAAAAACATTAATCTGCAAACCTTCGATGAATATCCAGGCTTCTCTTAAAAAGGCTTATCCCAAACCCAGCCAAGCGACAAGGCCCAGCAGTGACACACCCCATGCAGCTGCCTCCTGTTTTTCCTCAGACTCCCAGTTTGCAGAATCCTGCCTGATACGGCAAAATGCAGCCCAAGCTTTATGATCATAGGGGAACAGTATCTTGCAAACTCACAAGACAGGCAGGTGAGAGCAATGCCAATCAGGATCAATCCTGCCTTTCTATAAAGACACAAACAATCTTACCTGTGTCACTGGGCCGTGACGGGGCTAAATGAAGGCAAGTTTGCAGAGGCCAAAAGCTCTGCAAACAGAAAGTTCTGACTTAACACGTCCTCTGCCATTTGCTCTGCTGCCCCTGCCAGGCTCAGTGGGAAGCTGCCAGACTTCCCAAAGAAGCTTTAGAGAGAAGCTGGCAAAGGAGCAGCTGCCATTTTCTACTCATAGGCAAGTCCCCTGCCTTCTTTGCTCCTCTTTCAACATTTTTTATTTGCTAGTTTTTAAACTGAAGTCCTTTCCCACAATGACCTATAACAATTCCAGCAGGACAGCATACTGTGCACAGAGGGAAATAAGCTGGGATAACAGGAAAAGAACTAACCTTCTTTTTTCCCTTAAAAAAATGATCCTTTCTTCTAGTTTGCAAAATTTGCTGCAGCTTCTTACTTCCTGATTCCAGGCAGCCTGGAAACGGAAACACTGAAGTCTGGGAGAGGCTAAACTTTCAGAGTTTCCAACCCAAGGCAAGTTGAAAACAGGAACATGCATATAAGCTGCCAGAAGAAGGGGAATAAACTCTGCCAAATAATTGCTAAGGCTGGTGAGTCACCGCAACGAACTCAGCAAGGGAGGGCCATAATTCTTCTGAACCGTTTACTACCACGGCTCCTGTCCTGATTTTCTAGTTGCTGGCACGAAAGGCAAGCAAAAAACATAAATTATTATTATGAAATGCTAATTAGATCAAATTAGCTGCCAACAATCTAATTTTCTTCAAACCATACACAACATTAATGATGTAAGATCATTGCTTGAAAATGACCAGGAGCCTCCAGCTCCCAGCAAGTAGCTGAAATTACAGCTTTACTGAAACATGGAGGCAGATGTAATTAGCAAAAGCTTTTTTTCTACCCATCACCTACAACTGGATGGCATATCATTTTTTTCTTAGGCCCCTGACAATCTCTGAGAGAAGATTTCCCCCACCTGCCCACCATAATCAGACCTCCCAGTACCTTTGATACTGGTGTATTGCAGAGACAACACTCTCAGCATGTGGCTGCACATCTCGGGAAAACCGTAGCAGTTCTTTAAGCTGAGCCTTCAGCCTCTCAATCTTTGACTCTTCTGCAGCCAGAGCTGCTCTTGTTGCCTTAATTATAAAAATAATGAACAGAACACACCTCATGTAGTGTCTGGTATATGAAATGAAGAAGTAAGGCTTTATCTCAGGGTACGCACAAATTCCCCTTCAGTGGCTTTTTTTCCTGGTTATAAGGAATATGGTCTTTGCTAAGACAGAAAACATTCTCAGCAACAGGTTTTTTTTTCCAGCAGGCTCTCTCTCCTTCCCTCACAGTGCCCAGCCTCTGCATCTGATCTGCAGGGTTCACTGTTTGAACAGAGTGAATCACAAACAGGCCTGGTTTCAGTTCACTGATTGAAGCATATAACATGAGCTGCATTTTTGGAGCAGTCTTAACAGCATCTGTTTCCCTGAACAGATCCTTCTCAGAGACTCACATATAGAGAATGTTAATTCCAGGGTGACTCAGGGAAACAAAAACAACTAAAACCCATGCAAATGTAGCTGGATTGAACCAGTCTAAATTTTTTGGATCCATTTTTGCATACACTTTTCCCAGTTAGTCCTGCATAGCTCTAGACATGCAAACAGCAATGAAAGGCATTTTGAGAACAGATAATAAATGCAAAACCAGCCCTCGAGAGGAAACGAGTAATAAAGATTCTTATCTACTTAATGTGTGACAAATTTTTTGCACTCATTTTTGCAGCAGATTGGTTTTGGTGTAAGTACTGGATTGTTACAATCTTGGGACTTCTTAGTATTGATGATGTGTCTGCTAGGAAAGAGAGATACCCATCTTACAGAGATGAAGGACATGATATAGCAATGGTCTTACCAAATACCTCAGAAATATGTGTAAATGCACTTGCGTCTGTGTATTTATATATACAGTGAGGCATTAATTTCCTGCTTCTTTTTAAGTGGAGCAAATTGTGTTGCTTGCTCTGTATTGTGCTTTTTGCATATGATCTCTTTGAACTCTAGGCACAAACTCCAGCACATCCTCCAACCCTGCTCCTTCTGTGCAGTGTAAGATGAAGGCTGGGACAGTGGATTCCATTGTGGGCAGTCACATTTTCCTCAGTGTGTTTCACACACTCCTTCCTTATCATGTCTAACCAATGGGACAGGCATCTGTTGGATGTGACTCTGCATGCTCAGTCTACGGCTGCACTTGATCCTCCACGCAAAGGATAACAACTTACATTGCATTTTCTCCATAGAGCTACAAATTCATCTTCAGTCTTTTCCCCTTCCCCAGGGTCCAGGTCATTTTCTAGTCTCTGCAGATCTTTTCTCAGCTTCTGGATGTCTGCTTCTAATTGTCTGGCTTGGGACTCATAGGCACTTTCAGACTGTTGGATCTTGAGCACTCTCTCCTCCTCCTCACTACTCAGCAGTTTCAACTTCTCCAAGGCTTTTCTTAGCTCTTCAAGCTCATCCTTCAGTCTTGCAGATCCAAGTGGAGAGGTATTCTGAATCACCTCTGCACACTGATTTTCAAGGTGTTTCCATTTCTTTCCACCACTCCTAATGTCTTTGGCAATTTCCTGAAAAAAAAAAAAAAAAAAAAAAGTTTAATAAAGATTATCTGCAGGAATGGGAAGCTGGGGAAAAAGCTGAAATCAGTAGGAGAAAAGATCACCTCTCCTGGTTGTATGTATTTTGGTTTTCACTTCTTATTTCAAAATATGTCTTTTTTCAAGTGACCAGAAGCCAGGGTTAGTCATCTGATTGCCTTCTGAGTAATACTAATTGTAACTGACGCTGAAAATACTGGTTTTCATTAATGCTTATCACCTGAGATCCCTGACAAAGAGAACAGCAGCTGCAGGCACTAGACATATATTAATAGTTGTATCTCAGAGATTTTAAGCTAAACATTAAAAACATTGACACCAAAACAAAGGATATTGTTCTCAAAACTGGTATTTTCATCACCAGCTCTAAACTCTCAAAAACTGTGAACCTTCAGGGTCTATCTGGATCATGTTTACCAAATCTGATTTATTCAAACATGATTCTCAAAAATCACATAACCGTTGGAGATCAGGCTTTAAGAAAAACCAACCAGACCAGTCTGTGACTCATACTGGAAGAGCCATACATACAAACAGTTTCAGGACCTCATCTGCCCTACACCATGCTAAAATCACCATCTGTTTTGTACGTGTAATTCTTTTCTCAAGGACACCCTGGTATAGTTTGAGGAACACATGTGGGCATGAAAAACACACAATCCTAACTCCTTGTTAGAGCTATATTGTTCAAGGACCTTCAGTGTCTTTAGCTTGTCCTCTGATGAAGACTTGGTTGCTTCTCCAATGCAGCAGTTTAATCTCTCTGTGACACCATTCAGCCACGACTGAAACTGGTTGACATTGGCGTTGTACTGCTCATGTTCCTTGGTTATCATTTCAAGAAGTTTCACTCTGTTCTGTAAAAAGAGACATCAGAAGTGGTGAGGACTGTGCTTATCTGGCTGTTTTCCCTTTACATTGTAACCCAGAATTTATAAACAAGATTCCCTTTTCAGGAGCCCAAATAACACTTGGCCTCCACAGGAATTCAAAGTTTACCTTGAGAAACAGAACACAAAAGTACACAAAGGCTTGTTCCTGTCTGGATTTTGCTGCAGGCTCTCAATGTCTAAGTCTCCAGGAAGACAAACTGCAAGGCCCTGTTAGGTGAATTTCTGGCTTTCCAAACCTTCCTACTCTCTTTCTTAGAAAAAGAAGAGACAGAAGTTTGTTTCTGGTTTTCACTTTGAGAGACAAGCAGTTATGTTCCTCTTGTGGGTTAAAAATAAGGACGGGCACATCTGCCTTATCTCTCAAAATGAAAATAAAAGACAATGCACTAGAGGCATGAGAATTGTTTTAAATTGTCCATTATTTAAACAGACTTCATGGAAAATGACCATCACCTTCAACTGTGTAGCCCAGGCCCTTTTGTACTTACTTAGCAGGTCACAAACTATTCTGTGGTGGTATCACAGACTGAAAGCAAATTCAAGCCAATGGAAAGCAGGCTTCCTTTTTCAATTTACTGCCTGTGCACCCTATAACCAACAATCCTGAATTTACAAGGGCCTGCACATCATGAGTTGCTGCCTGCTGATCCAGTCTGGCACTCCTTACAAGTCAGAGTTACATTTGCTCAGACTAGCCTTGTTTGCCAGCCCAAGTTCAGGCCTTTTTGATTTTGACACAAATCACCTGCTCTGTCATTTCACTCATACAACATTCAATATAAGTGTTGTTTTCTGCAAAACCAGACTGATTTTTTCTTGCCCTTCTCCAGTTGGCATGGAGAGGTGCCAATTGAGGTGCACTGTGGTTACATTAGATTAAAAAATATAAAATCATTCCTTGTGCAATCCATTTAGTGCTTGCAGCACCCTTGAAAGCACCCTTTGCTCTCACAGACAGTGGGCCACGTTTCATTTTGTGTAACACAGGACACATCAGTGGCCTCTGAGCAGCTGCCCTCCACGGCAAGTGGAGTGACAGCTGCAATGGTGGGTAGAGCTGAAGAGTCCCCTTTGCACTTCCCTTGTCCCTGTCAGGCTCTGGACAGGCCCCCACACCTACCAACCTGCCTGAGGTGACAATGAGCCATCCCCATCCTGTCAGCCTGCTCCCCAGCCAGGCCAACAGGATCCCTGTGCTGGGACTGGCAGGCACTCAGGGACTTTGCCCTTCACCTTTGGGACAGGGAATGCCCATGGTGCACCTCAAAGCCACCACCCTGCAAGTGGAACACCATCAGTCTGTTTTTCACACTGCCACCTCAGTCTCTGCTGACTTTTGCAAATCCAGAGTGACTCCCCTCAAGTTAGCTGACTTGCTGTGGGACAGAAGGGGGACAGCAAAGGGACAGTTGCTTCCCATGGAGGATGAAATGCTGCCCATTTATTAGAGCATAACCTTTCACAGCACCAGACATACACAGGATCGGATGAAACCAAAAGGTAGAATTATGACTGCAGACTTCTGTGGCCAAGATGTATCCAGCAGAACACCTCACTTGCTATGTCCCCGTGTGTCAATTCTCAGATCTGCAGAGGTTAAACAATTCATGCTTCCACCTCAGCTTAAGGACCTGAAGAAGACACTCTTATAGCAGTGTAAAAGGGCCACACATCAAAGTGAACCAAGTCAGGCCAAGCTTATGGACTCCAAGGAATTAGATTAATTTGTTTTACTGGCAGAAGCTCTAAAAGCCATAAATCAGAGTAACAAAGCAGAGATGTTATTAAGCTCAAAAAACTTAGGCTGATATACAAGGGATTCAAAAGGAAGTCAAAACAACTTACCCTTAGCCAGCTAAAAAAAAGGATTAAGCAGTTTGGGCACATACTGGCCTGTGAGGTCAAGAAATAGATGCCATGGATCTGGACAGACTGTGCCAGCTGTCAGACAAAAGTCTTACAAAGGGATGGCTGAGCCCTCCCCACATGAGAGGTTAAGCAGGAAAACTTTCCAAAAATGAAAAATAAGGTATCACTTGCTCCTGTTAGGTTAGATGTTTGGAAAGCAGCACAGTGTGAAATTCAACATCCACGTTCACTTGGCTAATGTGAGGAGACATGAAGCAAGGACACAGCTCTGCAAAGAATAAGAGCACAGACAGGAAGAGAATGGGTTTGCCATGGGCTGCAGAGAAAGGGATGTGTCTGGGCAGAATATGTCCAGCCCTGGCTACTCAGGGAAGGTGGGCAGAGGCTTAGGAAGCCTTCTCCCCTAAGCTCCCTTCAAAGTCAGTGAAAGCAAATGAGCCTCTTCTGAAAGGCAGTCTAGAGCACATAAAGGAAGTTCCTACTTTAAATCCCTCTGTAGAATCTCAAGGAGAGTACAGAAAGCTCCTGTATCCCTTCATGGTGCTTTTAGTCTTACCCTTGGGGTACCTTAGAAAACCATTGTAAGTATCTAGGTTTCAGTTAACAGAGACAACATGGACTGAAATGAATTTGATGTGCTCAGAAGTATTTAATATATTTCCTAAATATCAAAATCCTGTATATCATGTATATCTTCAATCCTCATTTATGCTGAAACAAACAACCATTTACCTCTGCGTATTTTTAATTTCCTGGGCAAGGCAAAGCATGTAGGAAATGGCTGCCACATCTAAAAATATTCCTGTCGACATAATTAAATTATATGCTTTTAAAATTTGGGAATGTTAAAGACACATGCTAGCACCAAGAAAAAAAAAAAGCCTTCCCACCATTTGCTCATAGCAGAGAAGCAATATCACAGGCAAACCATTTAAGAAACACTGTCCAAGAGCCTGCCTTCTGATAGAGCCGGACAACTGCACAAGGTCTAAAAATGCACTTCAAACACCAGTGTAATCTACAAACACCAGCCAGCCTCCTCTGCTCAGGCATTCAGCTGGCATCTGCAAGTCACATTTAGTCTGGCCTCTCATCATGTGAGGGGCCAGAGCAATCCCCTTACAACTCTTGTCTCTTTCATTCCTCCTGCCCGCTGGAAGAGGTGGAGGGTTTCTCTAACAAGAGTTATACTTTCCGACGCAATTCCCAAGCTGCCTGTAACCTTGGCATTAGATTATAAACTCCTCGTTTACTTCAGTTGCAAAATCCAAGGCTTTCCAACTCCCTTTTTTGTTCCATACCTCCTGAAAGAGGGATTTCTTAGCTGGATTCTCTCACTCCATCCTTCTATGAAATGTAGTATTTAGAACCAATGCCAAAGAAAAGCTTTTTCTAGTGTCTCAGTTGGCTGGAAACATAAAGACATATTTTGTCTAACTAGTATGAGCCACTTCCTGATCTCATTTACACCAGCACATATCCAAGTCGGTTAGAGAAATCACACTATGTAATACCAGTCTCAGAGAGGTCACATTCTGGCTTTGAGTATTCAAATTACTTGTTTGAAAGAACAGCTTTATTAAAATAACTAATGACTGTCTCTGGCTTCAAAACCAAAGACAATTTTGGTGAGGAGGGAATGAATGGTAATTTTAAATGGCAATCTAGATAGACAACACCTGAATTCCCAGGAACCTTCTTATTTGTATATCCAGATGCCTTTTAATCAAGCTATCAACCTTTAAAAATAAATAATCAGTGTTCTGGCCCAAGTCTGCTGGTGGCTTCTCTGGGGCATCTGCAGCTACAGAATTTCCAAATATACTCTACTTTTTGGAGAGACATTAGCAGTACTTGCATATTTATGGCTAGAAAAGTATCTGAACTACATGCTCACAAAAGATGCCAGCTTAGGGGGTTTTCTGTCCCTTTTGGGGCTTGGGGTATTTAATTTCAAAAGAGAAAATATGGAGCAAGCAGGGAAATGGAGCAAGCATCCCAATGTTGTTGTTCTTTAAGTGTGATCTGAAGTTAACTTTGTACAATGGGAGGGAAAGCACCCATCACTGTCAGACTCCAGTTCTGGACTGGTGTGTAGGTGTGGGAATTAACAGAAGGCACCATTATAACAGAGGCAGACAGCAGAATCAATGTAATGAAAATAAATTCTATTTGCACCAGGTAATTGTAGCCTATGAAATTCCTGAAAGTCACTATGAGCAAAAACTAGGTTTTAATTTCTATATGTTTGGTATAGATGTGTCTCTATATATAATTATTTGAAATATCCCTTTGAGTTTTTCTATTGATTTGGTTAGTAAGAAATTGAATTCTTCTGCCCATCCACAGATGTCTGCCCCTCGGCCATACCACATGGTCTAATCCTGTCTTTATTTGAGTTTTAGAAGTGGAAAGTACAAACATTTTCTGAAATCTTTACTCAGAAATAGGGTGAAAGGAGATCACTGGCACTGGAAGATGAAGCAGGATGTCTTACACCAGCCTATCTAACAACTGTTCAAGCTGGAACATTAGTATTGGGCAAGAATTAGTATCTGTGTGCATGAGAATCTTTCAGATAGTGGAACTGGCCACTGAGCAAAGTGTTGGGCTAGAGCTGACTACCACCGCCGTGTTTCCCAGTTCTGCAGGCAGGGAGGGAGCTCTGGGTCTCAACTAATGCTAGTGTCCATGTCATATTCCCTGGCTCCTGGAATGGGTACTCTGCCTCTGGTTATACATGAACCACTAATGTGCTGAAAGATGAGGAACAATTCAAACCTTATACAGAGATGACCTAAAGCAATATCCACTAGGTCACAGCAAGCAGCCTGCAGTTAGTTTACAGCAACACACTATAAAGTACCATGTAAGAGCATCCCAATTAACATCACCCCAGGACAACAGCTCATCTTGGGACTTGACAATTGTTTCAAACAGTCCACTGACTGAAAGAACAGGGCTCCCCAGCTCTGCTTCCTTTTGCAGTCCCACCAGCTAAGCCCCATCACTCAAGGAGCAAGTAGCAAACACCATAGATTGGAGGAATTTGAACACGTCCCACTCTTTGTAAGTGTACCTGAGCTTCTTGTTTGATTCCTTCATATTCCACCCTCATTTTCTTCTGAGCATCCTCATCAACGCTGGGGTCACCTATCCTGCTGAACAATGAAGTGGCTTCCTCCAGCAGCCTTTCCAGCAGGACTGACTGATTCAGGACATCATTCTGCAAAACCTGAGCGTGGCTCAGCTGCCACTGCTTCTCCTTTAAGCCAAGCTGCAACTCAATGTCAGGCTCCAAGGTCACCCTCATGTTGTGAATCCATGTATAAAACTCGTCTTGGGCTTTCAGGTACTCGCTCCAGTGCAGCCAGACCCACTCAATGCGGCTGGTGGGGAGAGCAAGAGAGAGGAGTTGGATGAAATGATGATGGCAGCAGTGGAGACCAACAATCTCAATAGGCCTTAAAGCAATGCACAAGGTTCTCAGCAATTTTAACTTGCTCTGACTTCACAGGGCTTGGATTAACTTCCCAGGTCCTCTCTGCTTTGGGGAGGAAATATTCTGTAAAAGGTGCCTGTGCCTGACCAAACTCATCATTCCATGAGGGGGGTGGGTGTGAAGGCAGAGCACTGAGGTCTCACTGATCCTCTCTCCCCACACAGTCCCCAAAATGCTCATGGGACTGGGATTAGCAGGGAATTGCTATCTACAATCCAGGCAGCAGAGAGAAGCAGGAAGCACTTTATGAAAGCACTGGAGGAAACAGCTGCCTCAACACACCCAGGAGTATGTTTGTCTTACCTGTGACAATGAGTAATGTATATGGCTGTCTCTTCCCACAGGGCTTTAATGTCTTTTAGTTTGGAGAGTACCTCATGCTTCTTATCCTCACTGATGCTGCGAAGAGCAGCATCTGCCTTCACAAGAATCAAGTCCATTTTCAAGCTGCCTTCTGGTTCCAGTGCACGTATTTTCTATGAGGGAAAAAAAAAAAAGATACTGAAAGCATGGGAAGAAAACAAGCATAACTGATGACATGTAAACTTTGTTTTTACCTAGGAATCATGAATTCATAGAATCATTTAGGTTGGAAAAGACCCTCATGATCAGAGGGTCCAGTTGTTAACAGGACACTACCATGGGATGGAAATGTTTATATACAACACAGACAATTAACCCTTCCCACCTAAGTGCTGCAGTTTCTCCTCGAAGGAAAATATGAATGTTTTTTCAGACATGTTTATTCTTAAACATCCTAAAGGACTGAATTTAATTGAAAACCACACAGCAGTTGAAAAACATTTTAGTTAGCTACAAAAAACCAGACCATCCTCTATGAAATGCCTGTGGCTGTGTTTCCATTGCTGTTATAAGGTTACAGCACTGTGTTGCCAGCTGCTCTCCCCCACTTGCCAAAGCACAGAGACAATGTCCACAGGCTACACTGCAACCTCTCAATTTTAAGCTATATTATAAGAAATCATGAAGCATATTAAAAAAGCTTCCTAGTGCAAATAAAAGCTGGCTTAGAAAAGAAGCCAAGAGAAATTAACTAGTGGAATTTTCTGCCTGCTACCAAATTTTACTTCGACCCTAAATTGCTAAGTTATAAATTGGTGAAAATGTGTGTCTAAAGCAAATGGGAATGCCAGGAACTGAAAGTGGAGTCATCTAATTTTGAGTGTCCAGAGATGGAAAAATCAGCACAAGTTCTGTACAATTTAAGAGATTAATTATCCACCAATTCAGATGTCAGCTTTCAACATTTCTCTATCCAACATTTCTGTATCCAGCTTCTGACACTATCAAATTAGCTTTTCTTGCTGCTCTTCCATAAACTTCTGGCAAACTGCAGCCTTTCTAATTTGAAGAATAAGGGTTCTATAATGAAAGATTTTCAAAATCAGCGATTACTTTTGGTCAAATTAGGCCTATGGGATTTGATCATGTCAGTTGTTGCAAAGGTGAGACAAGTAAAAGGCCTTTGGATCTCCAGTCACACATTCTGGGAAAAGCAAAGCCTGTTCTTTTGGCATGTAGGCAGCACACCTGCATGTGATGTATAAACAGTTGTTTGGAAAAGGTATTTACTAAGAAAGGTGTGATTAACAGAATCCAGGGACACAGGGCAAAGGGCAGGTCAAAACAAGAAAATACAAGCCCAGCTATCATCCAACAGGTACAGTGTAAGAGTAAAGCTGCATTCTAAGCCTGATATTTTTCCAGCAACTAGAAGCAAACAACAGCTGGAGACAAAGAAGTGGCTGTACAATAATTTTTCTTTTTCAAATCTGGTTTTTTACATGGTTTGTCTCATTGGCTGACATTTTCATTAACAAATTAACAGAAAATAAACCAGAGGAAGGAAGCATGAAAAAAACTGGCAAGCCAGGTGCAAGAAAGGAACTGAAAACTGATCACTGGATTTTAAAACAGCCAATAGGTAAAGCAGTGAGCACATCATGAGGACATCTGAGCTGGAGACAGAAGCCAGGCCCAGAAAGGAGGCAGGATGAAGGAGCAGGAGTTAAGGTACACACAGGAAGAAAGAACTTGTTAATCTTTAGAATGATGAATCTCCAAAGTCTGAGTTGAAAGAATCTCTTAACATAACTTTTTGCATGTTACAGACCTCCTCTAAAGCCCACAGAAGTAAACAGGTTTCAGCAGTTCAGGCCATATCACATCATCATAAATCTCTGGACCTTACAACTTGTTATCTCTGCCATGAATGTTCCCCCTTTGCCAAACTACCACTCTTTTACTTGAGTTCCTGTGTCTCTTGAGTGCTTCTTGAGACTGTACACATCATAGTTTCCCAGACAAAAGGGTGAAAATAATTTAAAGTCAGGAAAACAAAATTATAGACCAAGATAAGATGCTTCAGATTTTTATGACTGACATGCAAGTCTAGCCACCATCCATCACTCCATGAACAGTCTCTATATTATGCCAGAGGCAGAATCCATCCTCCAATAAACCACAGTGAAGGAAAAAGGCTGAAGACATCACTGTAAACCACCTCATCATCTATCCTGTAAGCCTGCAACTTTTTTTGTTAAACTTCACAAGAGGCAGGCCAAATATAAGTAAACACACAACAGGGAGGCTTTGGGGGTAAATAACATGGGAAAGACCTTGCCATTTAAATTAAAGAACAAATTACTTGGAATTAAAGGTAATAAAAATATAAAAATAGTTTCAGTGTTAGTCATAGAAATATCACCACTCCCTCCAATCATGAATGGTACAAATGGGACAAACAAGAGTGTTTCCTTCTCTGAGATTACAAGACCTAGATAACATCGAATGAAACTGAAGTTAATGAATGTGAAATCACTGTAAGAGAGCAGGCACAATCTGCAGCAGGATCTCTGTGAGAAGAGTTATACAACAGATTAAGTAAAACCAGGAAAAATGAGAACCTTTACCTTTTCATTAAACAGATCATAAAGGGGATCTGTAAACCCTGTTATCATCAGGGCTATGGAAAAGGACAAAGGAATTACTCTGAAACAGCCCATTAGCAGGACACTGGAATCTTTTTCTATCAGTGCCAGAGTCCTGGAGGGGATGGAACACTAACGTGATCTGATTCTCTTATACTATATGCTGGTCGTATGCAAATTACTATGGTAATTGCAAGCAGCAACCAAATTGTTCCAGGCTTGAGGTGACTGTAAATATTTTAACCTGCCAAACCTGCTGCTAGTGTTCCAAATCAATCTGAAAAGTTTGGAGCCTGTGATAACAAATTGCCACCCTCTTTTTCTACGTGCATAAACAATTTGCAAACAGAAAATTTAAAAATAATATTGATGTGAACCCATCCACACAGGCCCAGTGCTCCAACAAGCAGGGGCAGCTAATTTCCTAATGGAGAACTCCTGAGCTCACAGCAATAACTGCTGTAACAAGGGCAGCAATGAGAGCCCCCTTGGAATTCCACTGCTCTTCCCTTACCTCAGTCTCTCTCAGTCTGGCTTCTAGGGCAGATCGAGGTCCTTTGGTGTTGTCATTGATCCTCAGCCTCTCTTGGATGGCCTTCATCCAAGCTTCTGCATTCTCCACGCTACTGTCAAATTCATCCTGTAGCTGCTGAGTCATCGCATTTGAGGGAGCTGAAAGGATAGGAAACAGGGAGGTAAGCAGGTTTTGGGTAAGACCTGAACAGGAATGAAAGGCAATCCAAAGGAGCAAGGGAGAAAAGCTGATGATGTGGCTTTCATTTTGAACAGTAATACCAAAACCTGCAGCAGTATAGCTGTTCAGTTGAGCACAGAGAACATATTCACACTGCAGCTTTCCCAAATGAAAATATACCAGGAAACAAAAAGAAGGTGGAGAACTGTGGGAGGCTCCATTACAGTAAACAGACTTAATTCAAAGCTTTTAAATGAGATTAATTTGGTGTTTGTGGTGTATTCCAGATTAGCTACACCAAACACAAACACTTTCTATTTCTTCCCAGAGTCATGTCAGTGTAAAGCTCTCCCAATGCCCTTCTGGGCTCATGTACTGAGCCCTGACACCAAACGAAGTACTTTGGCACACACTTAACTTAGAGGTGTATGAACTGCTGTTGTAGAGGTGTTAAAGCTGCTGAGAGCAGGATCAGATGCTCAGACACTCAGCTAACTTCTGCTGAGACCATGCAGAGGTTACCAGAATGCACATGCAGTGAGTCTGCAATACACAGACAACAGGAATTGGCCAGCAACTTCCAAGACAAGCCACAAACAAGCCTTCACAGGGGATTATCAACACCGGTGGATGTCATCTTTTGCCATCTCTTTTACTCCATACCAAGCTCCAAGCTTTTAATTTTCCTCTCCCCCTCTCCTGTTGCCCATTCCCAATCAGCAGGAACATATGGTGCTTGTTTGCTCTGTTGATGTCTCTGTTCAGAGCACAAGCTCCCCATTGCCCAGACAGCCTCCTTTGTGGCTGTACAATAGAGCAGAGCCATCTCAGGCTCACCCCTAGGACTGCTGGACTAAACTTGACTAATAAGGATGAGCCGTAACAAAGCACCCTGTAGGTCAGCTCCACTGAAGTGAACAGAACGAGAGCCACTGACATTCAGTGGGTTTGGATCACATCCTACAACTACTGCCAGCCAAGCAGCCCGTGTTTTGTGGAAAGTAAAATACTCTTCCCCTTTGTTATTCATCACTGGAAGATTTTTTCAGCACAAAGTTTAAGACTTAATTAACCCAAGTTTGTTGTGCAGAATTCAGCTCCACAGAGCCCCTCAGTTTCCATGAAATGATTCACGTGGAAGAAAGTGTTCAGCGTGAGAGGCAGTGCATGGCCCCTGGTGAGGCTGGACCAATGGTGCCTTGCAACCACCACAGGTCTCAGCAGCTCAGTCTTTACAAGGGGAGCCATCCTTCTGCTCACAAGCAGAAAGCTCCCCACCATGCTGCCAGTGTTCCTTTTCACCACGTTAAAGGATTCATGCAATATCAGAGGTCCTTCCCTGCAGCTCCCAGTGAGTTTTCTTCAACATTAGACCAGAGGAAACTAAATGTCAGCATTCACAACAGGCTGAATTGTTGCTTCCCAGCTGTCAGCAGGCTTTATACTCAACAGGTGCCAGAACAGAATAAAGAACTGCACCTGGAGAGCAGCTACTGCACCACCATGGGGACAGCTGGAGCAGAGGATGGGATCAGGTCTCCCTGTGCAGACCAGCAGAGCTGCATTTGCATGAAAGAGGGAGTTCCTCCCTAAGTGAGACCTGTCAGACAGGACAGAACCTAAGGCTGGAGCTCTCAGAACTTGAGAGTAGCTTTAAAAAGAGTGACCTCACCTTGAAAAGTTTTAAAAAAATAAAACCGGATGTACTGGATTTAGCCAGGGTGGTGTAGCATGGGGCAGCTATTCCCTCCCTCTCTCAAATATAAAAAATATGACAGGATATATAATTAAAGCTAAAATCATTGACGTACATCACAAGAGTCCTAAAGAAGAAGCCAGCTAATGGAGTAATGTTATTCTCAGTGAATTGCTAGATAGCTACGTCCTTCTCCAACGATAACTGGTTCAGAACTGACATTTCTGAACTACAGTAACCCAGGTCTTGGAAAGGAGCAGAAATCTCATTACAACTGAAAAACCAGCTCATTTTCACATTAACATTTCTCACTATATCTGGCCGTTTTAGAGGGACTGTCCCCTGAAACTCCCCTTGTTACATACATACACACATTTCTAGGCAGTTTCTGAATACTCACGTATGAGCTGTGCTGATTCCAAGTTATGCCATTGTGAAACAAAAACTCACAGTGCATTTGCTGGATAGACCCTGCAAGAAGTGGTATTAATTTCCTAGGAGAGGTTTCTATTCCTGGAAACATCCATATCATTTTTAAAATTGGCTTCAGTACTCCAGTCATGGAGTAGCCAACACAGAACATGATGTTATACTAGTCCTATTTTTTACAAAAAGTTGAGGGCAATCTAACATGGTTAAGCAGTGGAAAACCTACAGTCCTCCAACAGGAAGAAAACCCCCCCTCACACTCTGCCCTCATGCTGCTGCTGTCTGAGCACAAGGAATTTCTGCCAAAACCTCACAGTAACAACCCCCCCCAACCCACACACAGTCAGTCCACGTAAGCAGTCAACACAGGAAACCACAAAAAAAGTTATTTCAATATTAAGATCACCAGCTTGCAAAGGAAGATAAACACTTTGCTACTCTAACTAAAGGCATAAAACATCACTGACTGATTTTGACCAAGCAATTCCTGTATCTAGTACCACAAAGATGATTACATTTAGCATGGACTCAATGCCCAGGTGGATTTCATAGTAGTTACAACCTTAAATATCTGGATATTTATCTTGGATATCATGGATTTGGGCTGCCTTTTGAGACCTCCTGTCCTCCCTCCATGCAGGCCAGCCAGATGCTGGCTGAAGCAATCAGCTACAGTACCAGACTTTTGTTCTGGAACCCTTCCCAAGCACTAACAGCATGATCTATACCTGCAAGGTAAAAGTATGATTTCTGACTTACTGTCTGCTTGGGAGGAAGAACAACTGCTGTCTATTTGAGATATGGCAAGATCTGTAACTCCTTTGCAAATTCTTCTAAAGCTGGGACTAATGATTAGTGGATGAAAGTTCAACAGCATTCACCCCATTTCTGTTGCATCACTGGAACTAAAAGATTGAGCAATGCCTTTGGACATGAAATTGTGCAATACTTCTGGACCCTGATCAGTACAAAAAGGACAAAGGAGACACAGTGGTTCCTGGAACAGACCTAAGCTGTAGAGCTGTGCAAAGCCATCATTCACACACACACCAACCTGTAACAGCAGCAGACCATTAGGGACACCTGTACAGCGGTGCAACAGCCCCTATCCCAGGCTCGGTCTCTGGGACCCACTGTCATGGAATGTCTTCCCTTAATCACCAGTGAGATCCTCTCAGACATTTGTACAAAATTGTTTTTCTCACAGTTATTTTCAAATGCATCCAGCTGTTCAAAACTGCTTTCCATTTAATGACTTGAGTCAGTGTCTTAATTCATACCGTGGAAAGCGCATTCACATTGTAGAAATCACCTGGCATCTCTATACATGTTACTAAATGAGGGCAATAACTATGCATAAGAAATTCTGGCACAGATAATGAGATGCTGAGCAAAACCAAGTTTTATTTGTCCAGATGCAGTAACAGCTTCTTGGTAGAGGTAACAAAGAAGCGTATTTCAGGCTGCTAAACAGAACTGACTCAGGAGAAGCTCCTGCAGTATATCCACAGGTTACAAAAAACACATTTTAGGAACAGGAAAATGTAAGACAGATTACCTGCAGAAACCTGTAGCTGAACTTCTCCCACAACACAACTCTTCCTACCTCCTCTGAATCTCCCTCCATGACCCCCAGAACACGGCTTGGCGGTGTCTGGGTAGGCACACATGTTTCAGTGCCACAGTGGGATGATGCCTCAGCCCCTGCCCAGCTCTGCCAGACCCCTGCACACCCACAGCACTGGTTTGCACTGGTTTGTCTGAGGCTCAGTCACATGCAGGGGATATCTGCACCTTTGGGAGAGGGAAAGGAGAACACCTGACACAGCACACACTTGTCTCAAGTCAGCATCACTCCTCTCCTGCTCTCTTGTCCAAGCACAAAACCATTCAGCAAGGAGGGAAGTCAGAGTACTGCAGCCTACCACCTCTTCCCAAAATCCTGGAGAAGGGGCAGCTGGAAGGATTCTGGGGGGCACACATGCTGTACCCCAGCTCACCCACAGGCTGAATACCCCATGAATTAATGAGATCCAAAGTGACAGCAAGCTGGGTTTTGCTTTTGAAATCTGCTCCAATTGGGTTGGGCTGAAGAGATGCAGAGGCAGCTTTGTTTCAGCTATGGTCTTGGAGCCATCTTCATATAAATGAATTATCTCTGCTCTGCATTATAGCTCTGGGAGCCATGGACATGTCTGGGTTTCCCCTGCAGACCCTGACACAGACACAGGCAGAGATCACCCCTCGTGTGACCCACGTAGCACTCGCTGCCCCAAATTTCTCTGAGCAGTTCTTCCCTGAGTACAAGCACTGCAGGAGCCATGCTCTCTTAGAGACAAAAAAACTCTTCTGGGACATTGCAAGGTTTACTTATTTGATATTTGTAATACACTACTGAGAGCTTTTAAAGTTATTTTGCAAGTGCAGTTTCTTTTTCTTAGGATTGTCCTATTATTTTTAAATGTTTACTAATGTACTATTTTCTTTCTGCCAGTCATACAGGGGTTCAAGTTTTTGGTTCGTATTTGTTATTTTTTTTTAAATTTAAATCTCTTAAAACAGTTCTTACAACCACTCCCATTTTACACATTCTTTTAAACCCTACATTTATAGAACACAGGCTTTTGAATGGTTTCAATATGTCTTGGATTCTTATGTTCATGTACTACTTGACTAGTTTTCAGAACACAGTTCTTACAAAAATAGAAGTACAAAAATGCTCCAGGAAAATTCAAACCACTCACCATTAGGAAGACTATTTTCAAATTACTGAAATACTTCAAACTCTTCATAACCCTTTTCATTTGGTTCTGGGATTGAATGTGAAAAAAAAAAAAAGAAAAAAGCTCACTG